TGCGGGATGCTGAGTCAGTGGTTCAGCTTCTGGTGCTGCGACGCAAACTCTAATGTTGTCTCTAACCGCACATCCATCCCAACAACATTGTATCAAGATATCATGACTGAGCTGCAGCGACATTCATCGCTATATTACTATAGAGGTGAATGTTGTCATGTGTAACCTTGTCAAGGTTACAGGAGAATTATACCCAAACCCAAAAATATCAATGGCATGTGTTCTAATGAAAAACAATATAAATAATAATACGAGAATGATAAAATACAATGTAAACAATAAATAGAGAATTAAAAAATTTGGGGCATGTTGATAAAAAATATCGAAATATCTAATAACTGGATTCAATTGTATTCACCAGACATACGCCAATAATAAAATCCTAAATTACAGCACTTTAAATAGAGGATAGAGAGCGAGAGATCTCCATAGGGGTCAAAGGTGAATCACTCTTCAAATCAATGATTTGGCCAGCTAAAAACAACAAATGTTTCAGACTGTTACCAGTAAATGTCTTTATTATAAATGTATCAATGTTTCCATAAATGTGATTATTGTCCAATGGGAGTTCAATAACTGGATTGTAGACCAGCAGTTCTCAACCTTTTGTCAGTTGTGGTACCTGAATGGTATGCAAAATCTGGAGGCACCCCCAGTCTAAACCGAAAAACACATCTGGTTGGCTAGAAAAGTCACATGTCCCATTCAATTTAGTTTTTGAACAAAATTCGGATGGGATCCGAAAATTCGTAAACGGAAATTCGGATTCGGACGCATTGGGATTGGGAAATTCGGATGTGTCCGAATGTCCAAATTTCGGAAAATTCGTACAAATTTTGATTCGGAACGAAACGAATTGCACATGTCTAGTAAGAAGTCATGTACTGTATACATTAGAAGGATATATAAATTATTACCTTTCAGTTTCCTGCTCTGTTGTCTGCGTTTTGACCTCAAAGGTATTGAAACTGCTCATGTCAACATATCCATCGTTCTCGTTGGCGGAAGACAAAGCCCTGCTGGGATCCTCAAAAAATTCTGTAAACGTCCCCGCTCTCGCTGGTCTTCGAGGTGGAATCTGTATATTTTCATAATCGGAATTCATCGCTGGGATGTTTTCATAATCGGAGGTGTCAGCGTTGGGAAAAGAAATAGACCTGGGTTTGGTTAATGGCAAAGGCATAAATGGTGGCCTGCAACGATCCTCGAAAGACTCAACCCTGGCCACGCTCCTGCCAAAGGCCTTGGAGGTTCCTTTCCTCTTCATGTCCTTATAGTAGAGGATAGCTGTGGGGGAATCAGGGTGACAATGCATCCCAGAACGACTCTGCAATTGAGGAGAATTCCCAAGACTCCTTCGTTCCATGTCTATGAATCTGGATGGGCCATGGTAGCTCGACTCTGAAGAAGACCTTGAAGAAGATACATTGACGTCAACATGGACCTTGTTTTCTGTCTTCTTCTTAAACTTTAAGGTAAGGAATTTTTTGAATGATGACTTTTTCTTTTTGAAACATTTGTCAGAAGATTCATTTTCGATCAAAAGCGACGGGGAGCTTTTGGTAATGGGTTTCTTTGTAATGCTGGCAAGTTCAAAGGGCGGTGGAATGTCCATCAGTGAGGTAGGTGTGGACATTCCGCTGGAGGAATTATGATTTCTCTGTGAAAAACTACCAGAGGAGCTAATGATAAATGGAGAGAAAGTGATATCTGATTCAATATACATTGAAGCTGCATTTTCTCTGCCCTCCACTGAGTAAGACCGAGGGTAGAGAATAAAACGACTTGGCTTCCTTGGTAGAGCCCTGAGAAAGTCAATAGGTTTTGACTCTGGCTTTTCACACTTTGTGTTGAGAAAAGGGTCAATGCTTGGTGGCTGAGAGTCCATCTCTGCCGCTGTCTCTTCTGGGACAGTCTCTGGGACATTACCAGGTATTTTTCCTGAGTAGGATCTTGTCCTTGTAACAATGTTTTTCCTGTCTATGCAAAGTAAATGGTTTTCTCCTTCCTGGTTACATTCCTCCATTACACAATGGGGCCTAGTGGCTTCCCCCTCTGGCTTGTTGTAAGAAATGTCCTCTGTTTGCTGCAACTTCCTGTTTCTGGACTGGATACTGTCCTCCAGTACATAAGGGTTGCTGTCATCCTCCTCTGGCTCTGGAGTTACCTCAGCCGCTAGTGTGTTTTCCGCACTGTCCGTTGAGAGCTCCTTGACCTCTGTTTCCTGATCTTCAGGTGACACCTCTGCTGTGTCAGCTCCATCCTCTCCAAGTCCTTCACCCTGTGCGACTAAAGCTGGGACGTCACATATGTTATTTCCTTCACTATCTGCAGCTGTGTCAGTGGACTCAGAAGGTTGTAGTGGTGCGTCAAAGTTGTCTGGCTCCTCGTTAAAACATGTGGTCCCAGGAAGAGGCTCGGTTTCATCTATCTGCTCTGTTTCAGACTCTGTCAATGGCTCCAGAAGGCTTGGGCAGGTATCTGTATCCAGAGGTTGTTGGGTTGCCTCATTCACATCATCATTACCCTCACTTTCAAATGGAATGATTTGGCAGCTGTCATCAGCATTGTCTTCTCCTGCAACATCCCCTGTTTCTTTGGAGCCCTCAGCCATCTGAAGAGTATCCTGTGTTGCTTCTTCTGCCACTTCACTGACTATACTGTCTTCTTGATCTCCAGCCTCCTGAAAAGTAGAGTCTGTTAGAGCCACGACTGACTCCTCATTAAGGTCTATTGATGGTTCAACACTGTCCCCCTCAACAGCTGGGTCTTCTGTGTTTTCTAGCACATGATCTGTAATTTCTGAGGAATCCTCTTGTTCAGGCATGGATGACTCCTCACATGGGGTAGGGCTAGTTTCTAGTCCAGGACATTCAACTATGGCATCAGTATCTAACAATCCATGGTCAGAAGATGCATGAATGTCTTCACAGCTGTGGCAAGGAGCCTCGTGCAAAGAGATCTCACAGTTTTCAGTTCCTTCATTTTCATCCTCTGCTGTAGGGCTATCCTCACCATCCTCTGTCAAAATGACATCTTCATAGCTTGAATCTTTAAGATCTGTGTCCCCTTCCTCATTGTTACATTCATTGCTGTCAGTGGGTAAGAAATCATCCATGTCCCCTAGGTCATTTTTGAATTGCATTGAGCCAGAATTAGGCACTAAGCTATCGGCCTCAGCCGTCGATGAAGATCTTAAGCTGAGAGCATCAGTGTTGTCACTATCGTCAACTTCTGTAGAGTCCCCTGATTCAACATCCCTGGACGGCATACTGTCTGGATGCCCACTGTCTTCCTCCCCAGCTTGAGAAGGACTACAGCTTGTGTCATCAGTGATATCCCCTTCCCCAAAGGTAGTATTCCACACATCTGCTGGTTCCTCAGAACATAAGCTTTTTTCACACTCCAAATCAGTATTTTCTTCATCAGTAAGCTGAGACTCAGCAAAGTAATCACCATATGTTATATCCAACTTCTCAGAATCTCCGCACCCTGATCGGTAATGATCGGCATCGTAGATTTCCACTGGGCACTCTACTTCACCATTGGCACACTTGTTCAGGGAATTATTCTCGTCCTCTATACACCTCCTTTCTGTAGATGGGGATAACACTGGTTTTGGGGCAATGGGAGGTTTGGGGCCCCTGGACATAGATTTGCCTTGGTGAACCAGTTTCGATCTTGAGAGAAGAGGTGATGAGTACTTTGAAAGAGGCACTGAGCTGAAAGGGTCGAGACCTTGTGGCTTTGGTGCAAGAGCAGGCTTGGTGACTTCTGAAATAAATGGAAAAAAAAAAGAAAATGATCACAATTGCATTTGAGATGTATATGAAATATAGGGTAGCGATGCTTAAAGTATATCTAAACCCCAGAAATATGATGTAATACATGTAACAATGTATCAAATGGCCAACACAAGCTGTTCTTTTACTTCCTCAAACACTAAAGGATGTGTGCCCTAAATTTAAAGTATATCTAAACCCAAGAAATACAATACAATATATGTAACACTGTAATAAATGGCCAACAAGCTGTCCTTGTACTTCGTCAAACACTAAAGAGTGTGTGCTTCAAATTTAAAGTATATCTAAACCCAAATAATATAATGTAACAATCTAATAAACGGCCAACACAAGTTGCTCTTGTACTTCCTCAAACACTAAGGGATGTGTGCCCTGAATTTAAAGTATATCTAAACCCAAGAAATATAATGTAACATATGTTACAATGTAACAAACGGCCAACACGAGCTGTTCTTGTACTTCCTGAAACACTTAAAGAGTGCTGAAGCCCTAAATTTAAAGTATATCTAAATCCATGAAATATAATATATATAATAATGTAACACTGTAATAAATGGCCAACAAGCTGTCCTTGTACTTCGTCAAACACTAAAGAGTGTGTGCTTCAAATTTAAAGTATATCTAAACCCAAATAATATAATGTAACAATCTAATAAACGGCCAACACGAGCTGTTCTTGTACTTCCTCAAACACTGCAGGGAGTTTTTTTTAAAGCTTGCCCTAAATTTAAAGTGTATATGAGCTCAAGAACACAAATGTAATGAATTGCGGCTTACCACTATTTATGGTTTATGGCCAAATATGGTTTAAATACTTTCCAAAATGTAGTCTGTGTAAACACAAATACTAAAGGCTGGCTACAGTATTATTACGGATGGCTGCTCTGGGACCTGGAATGTTTCAAGAATATGCCCAAAAACATTTCACCAGTGCAAAGAACAATGATGACATGCAAAGTGCGTTAACCGATAATAAATAATCAGGTTTTAGTTTGCTGTTGGTATCAAAGTACAAATCTCTAAGGCAGGGGTAGGCAAACTCCGGCCCTCCAGCTGTGGTGATACAAATCCCACCATGCATCTGCCTCTGGGAGCCAAGCCTGTGGGTGTCAGAGTTTTGCAATGCCTAATGGCATTTGTAGTTGAATGACAGCTGGAAGGCTGGAGTTAGCTTAACCCTCTCCTAAAGAGTCTATTTATAAGTCTTCTGCCCGGCTATATTCTGGTAGAATGTTGTCTGCATGGCATTCCTGCCACTAGATGGAGCCAAAGAAGCAAATTCCTATGCTCCTTGGCTCCATCTAGTGGTAGGAACGCCATGCGAATGATTGGGTAGAAGGTTGATAAATAGACCCTTAAGAAGATGATGCTGAAATACCAACACCCAATAAAACTGATCCATTGGCATAAACAAGAAATTGGTCATTGATGGAAGACCACATGACCAGTGGTGAATCCAGGGCATGGCACATGTCCTGGGCACTGCTTGAAGAGGGGGCCCCACTCCATGGGTCCGCGAAAGTTTGTCGACTAACGGGGACAGCTGACTTTTTTAAGCTCTGGCTGGCGTCCCACCAAGTTCCCAGCAACCAGTGACATCACTGGTTGCCAGGAGCTGGGCGGAACACCACAGGCACATTTTATGGTTGATCCGCCCCTGCACATGACCCATTCTGAGTGCTGCCTTGTTTTATACCGGCTGGTAGTACACACAGACGTCAGAGTATTACCCGGCAAGATTGTGTTTCCTCTCTTCCATCGAAAATCGTGTTAAAAAAACACTTGTGTAACCTGCTTTTTGTTACATAGTATTTGAGGTTGAATAAAGACATTAGTCCATCAAGTCCAAAAAATCTTTTCACAAAACGTTTTAGTCTGGAATATATATCTTGGGGTCATTCTCCAGGGAGAAGCTTCCTCCTGGTCCCCTTGGGACAGATGATCTTGCTTCCTAGTAAACATGGTGGCGTTTCAGACTGATTGTCGACAGGAAGTCATGCAGGACAATAAATAATCAGCCACTGAGGTCACTTCCTGTTCAGAATAACATTCTGTGACATTCTTTGATGAAAGTCTGGGAATCGGTCAGGAGAACACTAGCAGAGGTGACTCCATGACACGATATGATTCATCGGTTACAATAATATTACATGCGCATGATGTCATTATTAATTAAAAAAAATACAAAAATAAAACCTATACAAACACAATTTCAAGGGAAACTGAGTAATTATTGTGGTATTTAAAGTAATTTTTCATGTGATTATCACATTTTTTTTAATGGTTGTTGTTCCACGTCTTAGTTATTGTATTAAATACCGAAATTTGTAGAAGGGTCTCTGTGTTTGCCTCAACCTCAATCATCCTCCCTGCTTAACATCTGTTGAGATAAGATATCAGCCCCACAAAGAGTGCATCTGTTTGGAAGGTTGAGTAGCCCAAATCTCAGTAGACAATTCTGCATTGTGCTCCGGCATCTTCTCATGAGGTCTGGAGAACTCAGCATTCCCCGGGATCTCCTTGGAAGGACCGTGACGTCAACCCCCTACACTGTCAACCCCCTACACTTTGGATGAGTATACTTTTTTCCCCCGCAGGTCTTTTTATATTTTATATGGCGTTTCGGCAAGGGGAAGGTGGGACCACATTTAAAAAGTGGACTTCACATGGAGTACAAGGTCCTCCTTAATGGGCAAAGTGATAGTTGGCAGGTGAAACCAATATCTAATATTTGCAGACAAACATGGCAGCTTTGCTCGAATTAGACGTTCAACTCCGTTTACTTTAAAGGAGAACTATGGGGTCAGGGCTTTTCCCCATAGTTCTCCTTAGGGTAACGGGAGGACACAAATTAGCGTCCTCCCGTCACCCTAAGCTCAGTATATAGGGAGCTACAGCTCGCGGTATACTGAGAAGCCACAGTATACAGCGAGCTACTGCTCGTGGTATACTGAGACGCCGCAGCTGAAGCGGATCCCGACAATTATGTCTGGATCCGCCCAGCTGCGTGAGTGACAGCTGGTTCTGCTTATCTAGAGGCAGAGCCAGCTGTACCCGCCCCCTCCCCTGTCCGATTCGCCAGTCAGCGCTGGCGGATCGGAGCGGGGAGGGGGGAATCCAGCCCCTTCCCTGTCACGGCAGAGAGCTGTGACAGGATCGAGAGGTGAGCGAACGCCGGTATATGTTCCCTCACCTCCCGATCTACTGAGCCGACCTGTGACAGTCTCATTGTCACAGGTCGGCTAGAACTACGAGATTAGTGAAAAGAACTCACCTCATAGTTCTCCTTTAATACGACCCCTCTGTTATCCACTGCAGCAAGAACCTCACAGGGTCAATGGGAATTGACTTCCTGAAGAATGGATAACTTCCTCTCTCCCTTGCTATTTCCTGCATCTCCGATCACATTTCAATTTCAGAGACAGGTACAGCTGAGAGCGGTGAACCACACACGTTTTTTGTGGTGGCCTAAGTAGTGGGCACCACATCCCCCAAAAGGAGGCAATACAAGGCAGATATGTATCTGATTGCAGGCTGTGAGAAACTGCTACTGTCATTTCGATACATAAACCTATTAATGCGTAAAAATTAGCAAGATGCCAGTGGGGGAAGGGGAAGGGGGGTTGGGAATCCCTCTCCTGCATCATAGGTAGGGGTTCCCAGTTCATTGTATTATCTACAAAAGGAACTGGAGTGGACTGGTGTACTGCAGCAATGCCTGCTGAAAAATGTAAATACATTGTGCTCCTTGCATACATCTAAGAGCTTCATATTTAGTTTTCACTGACATACACAGTAAGCAAACGGGGACCCAACTTCCAAGTGCACATTTCCAAATTGTTTCTTAGTCACAAGATCTTAATGTTAAGGAAAGGCCTTCTGCTTATATTGCATTGTCTAAGACCCTGGTGCCCTATCTGCAGCCCAAGGGCCATATGTGACCCTTTGGTGTTTTTAAGTGTGGCCCTTAGCCCCAGCAGTCATGAATAAGGCACTGATTTGTAAAGAGGCATTTAGTACCAATAAGCTCTCGCAGTTTCCAGAAACATATCCCCAGTCTCTGATTGTCTCCTACAGCATGCCTTCAGTCTCCAACCACTCCCGTAGAACAGTCTCTGACCATTCCCTCTAGTAAGTCTTCAGTCTATTGCAGTCTTTTGTAATTGGCCTTTTGGCTAAGATCTATTATCTCTCTTCCTCTTACTATCTATATATCATTGTATATGTTGTCTATCAATATATCTATTTTTTATGCCTGTCTATCTACTCTCTCTCTATCTGTTCTTATCAGTGTTCAGGAGGGGAAAGGAGCCGCTGTACTGGCCTTTTGGCTTGTATGGCTGGATTCCGAGTACTCTGCCTGATATGATGGGGATCCTAAAGGGTCCTGGCCGTGGGAAGGAAACTGAAAGTAGCGTCCACTCACGTAAGGATGGGGGTCGGGACTACTTCCCTAGTGTCCTGGAACTGGCAGGGCCCATTTCCTCCTGATTTGAATGGAACTACCTGGTCCGGTCATGGGCTGGGAAGGCACGATGCCTGCGTTGTTCAAGTGCCCCCTGGGAGCGGTGCCCCAGGGGTGCCGGAGTAGCACTATGGGTTTGGGACATTGGCACATTAGCCATGACACCACTTGTTTTTGCTGCACATCGCCTGTTGGGCTAGGCCTTTTGGCTAAGACCAGGGGTGATTTTGTATACGGGGCCGCAAGGCCTAGCCACAGTCTTGCACTTTGGCAATTATTTATTTTTCTCACTTGTCTGTGCACTTCACCTTATTTGTGTGTTAGTTTTTCACTCCAGAGGATGGAGGGCGTGGGTCTTTGGGCCTACCCTGAAGTCTAGGGGGAGGATGTGTTGCCATAAGGTTCCTTCCTCCCCTGACCTGTTCCCCCCAAACTAGTACTTGGTGGCCAGCTTCAAGTGGCCATGAGGAATGGGTCCTCCCCCTTTTGGCCCGGTGGACACCAGTGCCTTGCCCCTGGATCAGGGATATGGCCCTGTCCCTTTGGGAGACTGACCACTTACACACACCCTATGTGCACTTTTTTGTGTGTGTTCACATGCACTTTTTTTGGTTCACTTTTGGGTGTTCGATGCACCAACTGCGACCTTCAAAAAAAAAAAAATTAGAGATCCAGGACAAAAGTGAAGTACTCCCGACACCCACTCTTATGTGAGTAGACACTATTTTTAGTTTTCTTCCCACAACCAGGACCCTTCAGGACTCCCATCATATCAGGCAGGCAGAGTACTCAGAATCCATCCATACAACATCAATGAGACATCAAGGGGCTGCATTAATGGCTCCCTATACCTTGTAAATTGACATGGTAAGGTATCACATCCAAGTGTAATGAGCAACCTAGACAGCATAAAGTATGTAATAAAAGTCAGACGCAAAGTCATTCCTTCCATCCCAAGTTTAACAAATTGTCTCCCTCATAAATAATAACACATTTCTGTCCAACCAAAATAATGAGACACCTTGCTTCCACGAGCACAGGTGATAATGAACGGGTGCGAACGACTTACAATTAAAATAAGTCTGTTTATAAAGAAAGGGAAGCTGCGGCTTGCCAAGGAGACGCTCCGGCTTACTTTTACACCTAATTACTGTCCCGTTTTATATGTTCATTAAACAACATGTTATCTTATATTTTACACATGGAACATCACAACTCCGTAATCTCCATATTATAATAGACAACCGTTCTTCTCGAATATGGTCTATTATAAAGGTGTCACATCACAAATAGCCCAACATTGGTTATACATTGGAAATCCTAATTCTCCCCTCATGTTACATTTTATAGACGTCACATTACTGCTCCCCAAATAATAAAATATACATAAGTGTCTGGCATCATGTCTCAGTGTATACAGGTTTCTTAAAGCTAAACTCCAGGCACCAAAAATGAATTTAAATATATTCCTCATTAGCCACAAAGGATATAAACCCACTTTGTGTGCATGCTTCTGCAAATGCAGTTATTACCTTTTAAAGTAGCCGTGATTTCATCACTGTGCTATACATAGCCTGTGCAGAGAGTAGGGCTGTGGGAGGGGCCCACCAGGCTCCACCCACTACAGGCCTGCAGAAAACTACAGTAGGGGCGAAGACAAGACCAGTCACCCTGCACATGGAGAGAGAGCAGCAGTGAGCGGTCTTTATTATAGGAGGGGGCGGAGACAAGACCAGTCACTGCGTACAAGGAGAGAGAGCAGCAGTGGGCATTCTTTATTACAGGAGGGGGCTGAGACAAGATCAGTCATCCTGCATAAGGAGAGAGAGCAGCAGTGACCGGTCTTTATTACAGGAGGGGGCGGAGACAAGACCAGTCACCAGGCAGATGGAGAGAGAGCAGCAGTGAGCGGTCTTTATTACAGGAAGCTCCAAGCATCCATGCGCACTGGATTACTGCACAGATCTGGAAGAAATACACGAAGCTCACCAAGATTCAAGGAAGAACACACATGCCTCTTGTATTTTTACCATATATGCTAATCCTAGAGTTCAGCTTTACGCAAATTGGCTTTCATTAATCTGTTGCAGTTTTTTTACCTGGAGATCCTGCCAGTTAGGCACTTCCTGTTGCAGGCTGACAACTCTAAGCTGCTGCCTTGCAATGAGCAGCAGTGTTGTCAGCCTGGCTATTTGGGTGCATATCTGACAGACCTGTCAGGCTGCCCAATGGCAAAATGAAAAATCTCAGATGGCAGACTGACAACGCTGCTGCTAATTGCAAGGCAGCAGCTTAGCCTTGTCAGGCCTGCAACAGGAAGTGCTATCGCTGGCAGAATCTCCAGATAAAGAACTTTTTAACATATTCACAAAGACTGATTTGCTTAATTAAACTGTATACATTGAAGTATGATACCAAACACACTGAAAAATAGGTTTTTGGGTTTACATAACGACATTTATACAGTAGTGACATCATTACTCTCCAAAAAAGTTACTTTCTGCAGGAATTACATCATTACTCCCCAAATATGTTATATTTTTCCGGGAGTGGCATTGGTGCTGTTCAGGGATAAGTTATATATTAGGGAAATTGCATCACTGGCCTCTAAATATATTGACATGACTGTACTACCGCCTCCACCATCCATTTCAGCCAGGGCAGTGAAAGGGTTAAAAAGACTCCAGAAACTGTTAGCAATGGCAGGAAGGAAGAAATGGATCTGTAGGCCACATCCTGTTACTGTGACCCACTCCCTAATCTCAGGGACACACTCGCAGGCTCTGTCCTGAGGATGACAAAGAAGTACAGCACAGAGCACACCACGACCATGCCGCCCCCCGCTGGTCAACTCTCATACTGCCAGCTCCAGCTACATCCCATGTATTGGAATTGATGGTTTTGGATTAGGAGGTGCACGTGTGTCATTAAGAATTGATCCAGTGTGTATTGTTGGATAAATGAGCCTGGGAGTACAATGTGCAAATCAAATCTGAACTATAAAGGGTCCCTTTGTGCGGTGTTTACGTTGTGTCTCACTGCCTGGTACAAAATATGCAAATGTGACGGAGAAGATATGCAAAGAAAATGCACCAATATCTATCTTTCTATCATTTTATGAACACTTACTAAGTCTTCAGCCCTAATCAGTAAAAGTCAGATGGTTACTATATACTAAAAAAATCAATGTATTACATGTCCCATCCTCAATAAATCCATCCCCTGACTATCCGTCAGTATAATCATTAACAGATTTTGCAGAAAAAGTGCACTTAACACTCACTGAACAGAGAGACCATTAAATATCTTCTCTCCCCATAGACAAGGGCTGGACCCAGGGTTAGAGTATGTATATATAAAGTCCAGCATTTGGGGAAGGGTGGTGGGTATAACCAAACCTTATATACACTGTGTCCAAATCTTAAAATACAGCAATATCACCAACAAGTCAACATGTAAATGTGCCTAAATGTAAATACAAAACAATCTGACTATTCATGAGGATGAAAGAAGAAGACTGTACAACAGAGCTAGCAATCTATAGGCTGAAACAATTAAGCATGAGTTAAGTAATGGCTCATTTCTTTAAAACTAAATACATTGCTGGTTTATATTATTGGATCTATACACTAAATATAAGTACAGTAGTAATGAAGTGTACATACTACGCCATTTATCAATGTGCAACCCAAGATTGACACAACTTTACCACATTGTTTTACATAGGATTCCATTACAAAATGTGTGAATCTTGGGTTACAGTTGATTGGATTTTGGCTGAAAACATGATAAATAGACCCCCTGTAGTCTACTGACTATACACTGACATACATTAGATTAGTAGTACAACACAAGCACTGTTATACATGAAAGCAGTACAACCTAATGCTAAAATAACTGCATGGTTAGCAGCTGGGTTACATTGTCTGCTACAGACTATACAAAGCAGTTTTTGGCAAGCTAGGCTCTCCAGCTGTTGTGGGACTGTAAATCCCAACATGCCCTGATACCTCTACAGCAGCCGGAGAGCCCTATTTGGCTGAAGGGACCATTAACGCATCCCAGCGCTATAGATTAGCCATCCTATGTCAGACACATAGGCAGTGGCAGAGGATGCAGCATTGCTTGAAGCAATCATAGCCGGCTGGCACCGTCCGTACCTGTACTCATCTTCCTGTGCGGAGAAGTTGAAGCAGTGCCCTATGCTCAGACCATCCTCTGGGAGCCGGGCACTCTGAACCCCGGCAGCAGCAGTGTCAGCTGAGTGTCAGCATTTGGCAGCCGGCTGCGGGCAGCGAGCGCTGAGATTGCAGCTAAGTGCTGGAGAGAGGCATGTCCCTTCCTGAAGAGGGAGACCGGGGACCCAGCGAATCCAAGCAAGGACAGCAGTTTAAAGAGACAATCCAAACTTTTTTTTTTTTTTTTTTTCCAGGGATGGGTCACGTGGCTGACAACCCCCCCTTTTCCTCACGAAGCTTATGACTACGCGCTGCACCTACAGCGCTATGCGATCTCTGCGAAGTTACATTGTACATTGTTAGATGGGGTGAGGAGGGGGGGTGATGGTGCAGACCCCACTGCTCTATCGGCTATGAAGGAGGGTAGCGGGATGCATTGTGACAGCTTCCAATTTTGGGGTACAGAACCTCAGCACAATCCAACCCCTAGCTGTGTTGGGAGGTTGGGGAATTTTGTTCTTATTCTTATTGTTCATTATAAATTAGCGGTGCATAATGCAGATATAGAGAAAGTGTGAATACAGTGTGTGTGTGTGTGTGTGTGTGTGTGTGTGTGTGTGTGTGTGTGTGTGTGTGTGTGTGTGTGTGTGTGTGTTTTGTTAATTACTGTTATTATATAATATTCAGCAAAAAACAACAAAGGCTAGAAAAACCTAATGCATATAAATCGTTAGGACCAGATAGCCTGCACCCTAGGGTACTTTAAGAGCTCAGACAGGTTATAGAGAAGATCTATGAGCTTGGGAAACAATGCTTTATGGTACCATAAGCCAATAAAAAGTGCTGAGAAGTGTGAGGCTAATTGTAACAGGTCAGAATTAATCTTGTATTAGTCTGATTTTAACAATGTGAATTCAGATGGTTTGATATGAATAGCTGTCGTTTTGATTTCTTTTTTCGTTTCTTGAACTGCTTATTGAGTAAGCCCATTAGTGTACAGTTCTAAGTGATATTGATAATGGAGGCGAATGTAATTTTTCTGGAGCCCCCCATGTCAGAATATTGCTGTTCTGGGACCGCCAGTTGACAGTGTGTCCCTTTTCTGGGATCCCCAAGTGTCTAGATGTCATTGTTCTGGGATTTCCAAGTGTCTAGATGTCATTGTTCTGGGATCTCCAAGTGTCTAGATATCATTGTTCTGGGATTTCCAAGTATCTAGATATCATTGTTCTGGGATCTCAAGGTGTCTATGTCATTGTTCTGGGATCTCCAAGTGTCTAGATGTCATTGTTCTGGGGTCCCCAAGTGTGAGGATGTCATTGTTCTGGGATCCTCAAGTGTCTATACGTCAATATTCTGGGATCCCCAAGTGTCATCATGTAATTGTTCTGGGATCCTCAAGTGTCTATACGTCAATATTCTGGGATCCCCAAGTGTCATCATGTAATTGTTCTGGGATCCTCAAGTGTCTATACGTCAATATTCTGGGATCCCCAAGTGTCATCATGTAATTGTTCTGGGATCCCCAAGTGTGAGGATGTTATTGTTCTGGGATCCCCAAGTATCAGGATGTTACTGTTGTGGGATCCCCAAGTGTCTATATGTCATTGTTCTGGAACCCTCTAATGCCAAAGGGTCAGAATTCTGGACATATGGTAGACATACAGAAGGGCATCAGTTCACAATATGAAAGAGTCCAAAGTGCCATAATTTGTTCCTAATACCATCACTTAAAAGTAGCCAATGTGTTTCGGGGGCTAGAAAACTCCCCCTTCATCAGACAAATGAAATGGAGACTTGAATGGACTCAAAGGTGACTAAAACCGAATGGATCTATGCTACATTTGGTGCAAACCTAATTTGGGATGGGAAGTC